ATGATGATGAAAATATGTCGCCAACTAGTCCACTGTGGAAGATAAATGAGCTGCCTGTACAAGAGGCATTGACATAACTTCCCTTTCAAAAGGCACCTGTTGAGAGTGTGGTAGCTTGGGAAATGTATTTTCAAGAGGTGTTGAAAGGACTGGTATGGATGGAGAGAGTGGTCCAGATATTCCACCATCACTGAGCTGCCTTGCACCTGATCTCCGAATGGATATAGTTTGCCGTGCCTCCATAGTTTTCCTTGAATTAAAATATAATATTCAGTTATTTTTTTTAATCAGTATTAGCTTACTCACATGTTTCACTGTTCACTGTTCAGTACCTTTGAACTGTTCACCGCTTGCAAATACTTTGACACAGCAGATATCATCAAAATTTGAATCTGGAACCCATTATAAAATTAAATTTTTAGAAAACAAATAATAATACATAATGCCAACTAAAGTTAAGCTGGTCAATGGATTTACAGCTAGAAGAAAAGGCATGGGAAGTCATATAAGTATCCACACATATATAATGGTAAGTTCGTGCATGAACAACAAAGATAGTTTAGAACTCTGCTGTTTCAAAAACCAAAAGAAAATGCTCTCTTTACATCTTTGGTGATAAAGTACAGTAAGAAAGAACGAGAGCATTTGTGATGAGAATCATCCAGCATAGTATGGAATAAGAAATTCCCAAATGAGCATAAACATTGGTGCCAGATCTAAAATACTAGAAATAAGAAAATTCACAGGACTAACTTCATCACCATACAGAAATGCCATTGTTTCGTTCATTTTGTGATCTCTTACTTTATGTACTTATGGCTTACTTTCCTGCTTTTTATAAAGAGAAAAGAATTTGAAACTCTCAGTTGAATTGAAAAGCTTTACATTCCTTCAAAGACCGCATACCAGGAAATCCTAGCAATTAATCACTTAAGCTTTGAAGACACTTTCAAGTGCGTGTGGAACTATCAAATTTTCCACCTTCCAATTTCCTTTCTCCCTTTTCCTTTACTAAGGCAGGTGCTCCTACCTTGTTGTTTGAGAACAATACCAATAGATGCATGCCAACATCAGGGAATAAGAATTATGATATCATCTACCACCTGCACGGTGCCTTTTCTAGAACACCAAATCTCTATCAATCCTGATTGATGAAACCCATTCCAAACTTCACCCATCTACATCCCAGTGTAGAACTTCAACTATCTCCTAAGTCTCAAGCATCAACCTGGACAACATTGTGAATCCCTACTTTGCAAAGCCCTAGGATATCATTTGAAAATCCATGAAAAACGCCTTTGATCACCTTAAAAACTAAAAATCTCCATTCTTGCACAGGTCAACTAAATAAGTCTACACTTCTACCAAACAATGAACACCCTGCAATTAGCGAAATCCAGAAAATTCATATCTCAAGACTCTCAAGACTATTTCCTCCTAACAATAGAACTTTCCAAAGTAACCTTGCACCCAGAAAACATTTAGAATGCGCACTTAAACTAGTTACAGAGGTATGGACCTAAAGCTGGACATTCTTCAAAGAAGAGAAGGTAAAAAAAAGCCTTATACCACTGGCCTAGGTCTTTTTTATAGAGACCAGCAAAATGAGTGGATAAACTGAGGATGACGCCTTATCTGAGGTGTTACATTTGTCACAACGTGATGCAAGACACAAAAGACTCCATAAAAATACAATCAATACATTCAAATGAGTCACCACTAATCTATTCAAGGCGGGAATTAGACACCAAAATACACACCAGTCAATTTAGAGACGTTCAAGAAATAATCCCAAAAAGGAAGGTAGAGGCCCCCATCTTGGTGGTATAGATTCATTGATCTTGGCTAAAATTTTTTTGTTTTAGTTTAAATGAAAGAAACATGAACCTAACAAAACATAAACAAAGAAAAAAGAAGCTAACAAGGAGATCAGTTAGGCACCCAAAATAATTATTTTTCCAAACTGAAAATCTAAGGCACATTCTAAACACCATACAACAAGGCACATCCAAAAACAGTAAATATCAAGGCCAATGTGGAGGCAAAAAGCTACTTCAAGCAATGTTAGATGTTCCTAAATATTCAAATAAAAATAAAAAAATAAAAAACATGCAATGGTAGAAAAGGAACCTTAACCAAACTTGCTCTCTGAAGTTTTTTTTATGCTCTCTCAAGCCCGACGCTCCTTGCTCTCTCCTTTGCCCGGCCTTTTTCTCTCGGCTTATTCCCTCTAAGTCCCTCTATTCTCTTTTTTTCTTCAAACCCAGCTCAATCCCCTCTCCTTTAGGACTCGTCTTCCCCCTTTCACCTCTGTTTCCCCGTGAAATGTTTCCCGGAAAAGGACAAAATAAACCCAGAACGTCTCCCTCGTGTCTCTTCCTAAAACCCGATTGAGCTCATCTCTATCTCTCCTCCCAATTTTGCCTCTCCCTTTTTGCTCCACCAAAACCCAGCTCCAATCGCGTCCGCCTCCTCTCGGTGTCTCTCTCGCAGAGCTTCTTCAGGAGGCTCCTTCTCTCGGTCGCTCTCTGTTACAAAAAAGAGAAAGGAACCCCTCTCCACTCGCCCTCTGTTTTTTTTTCCCTCTTTCCCCTCTCCAATCGCCCTCTCTTCTTCAGTCGCTTCTCCCCATCTACCTCCCTTTTTCAGCCGTCTCTCTCTCTCTGCTCTCAAACCCGAAACCCGATCTGCCTTGTCGTCTCCTCCTTGTCCGAGCCAGCTCAAACGCGTGCCTGTTTCATCGTCCTGCTCTGCGTCGTTTGGGTTAGAAGAGCAATGGGTTGGGCTTAAGAGCTGGTTTTGGGCTCAGATTTGAGTTGGGTTTTATGCAAAGATGAGTTTGATTGGGCTTTATAATATTTTAAGGGCTGCAATTGAATTATAATATTATTATAACAACAATGAATTATAATTTTTCAAAATTTAATAAATAAAAAGCAATCCAAACAAAATTAGGGTCTTACAATTTTTACACAAGAAATATGATATGACTTCTTGTAAGTTTATCACTTTGTAAGATACAGTGGAAGACCTTATACTACTCTGTTATAGATTCTTGAAAAAAGATGTCAACTCCTATAAAGACTCAAACTCAAATAATCATGTACTTAATTTGGTAGTAATATTCAATTTTAGTGTCTCTAAAATTTGCATTTTCTAAAGATCAAGGTGTAGAATTTTAGTTTCTCTGCAAGTTATTTATAAAAATGATAAGTGAATACTAAGTCTCAAGTCCCCATAAAATTAGAAATGGGCTAAATCAATTTTCAACACCACACACAACAACAGAGAGACTTCAATGAGTGATTAATCCTTATATTACATCACAATCTTCTTTAGAAGATAATCACATCATAATCTGTAGAGAATAGTGTAGAGATCCTTGGAGCTCACGAAGAAGATTCAAGTTAGAACGAATCAAAAATGATTAATAAAAAAATTCAACTAAATTCCGAAGTGAAATCCAATCATACAATCATATTTTATAACTTGAACAACATAATAAACAATTTTAACCATAAGTTACGCTCATATTAAAATGAGGATATGAAACATTTATGCAACATTTAATTTTATTTATTTTCTCTTTTACTACAAGAATGAGAGAGAAAAAATCTGCGAACCAAAAACTTGCACGTTTGCAATAAGGAGATTGAAGCACATCGAACTAAGGATTCTATCCAAGAACCAGAAGTACAAAAACTGAGAAACTTGGAGGAGAGGTATATCTTCCATTTTTACGAATGCTCATCCATAAGACTGGGAATCTATGCGGTTTATAATTAATACCTTACTGCATGTGCAATCTTACTTTCGTATTTCCAGGTATGATGCAGGGTTTGTCATCGGAAGTGAACGTTTCATCTAATGGAAGCTGTGATTCCATAAATAAATCAAATGAAGTTTTCCAAAGTTCCGCTGCAAGTCTGGTGTTATGCGAGAGTGATGAAGAGTTGATAGTCCTACCATTCCCACCAAAAAAGTACACACCAGATATTTCCTGAGATATTAAATAAGCAGCAAAATTTCATTAGTTAAAGATCCACATAAGTTAGATGAAAGCTATTAAATATTTTTAAGACTCAAATGAACCAGAATTTCATTCAAAGCATGCTGCACCATAGTGCTTTTATTCCACATGAAGAACTACAGTCCATACTCGACTAAGTCCTGCAACATAACTTCATGTGATCAACACCCATTCAAGAAAAACTGAATCTCGCAGCTCAAATTATTGATCAAGCTCGACAAGATAAGCCATTTCATGCTACAGAGTTTTCACCTGAGTCAAATTTATGGCTATGTTCTCAATTCATCAACATACTCACAACTTCGATTTAAACAACTTACTGGTGGGGCAAGGGCGGCATCAAGTATAGATCTGACTGCCTTATTAGAAGACTGTAAAAGGCCAACACACTTTAAGACCATAAATGCAGCACGGGAGATATATGAAGGAACTTCCCGCATAATGTTTGTCTCTGCTAACCCGGGATCTGCAGCACTGCAAAGGTCAAACAAACCAAGAATATTATATGCCATTAGCCAAAGCTTTCTCTGGAAGAAGGATACTACACATGCATTCAAGTAACGAAGAACTAAATATGTTATGAAATTCTTATAGGCTATGTTTGGAAGAAATCCATAAATGTTTCAGAATTCATTTGCAAATCATGCTTATTTTAATTATGAGACCTAATTGTACCAGGATGGGGGAAAATCAACTTTATACGGAATTTCATGTAGAATTGAAATAATAATTTCCATCAATTTTAGTGCAACTTTGAAAATATTGTTTCAATTCTATATGGAGTTCCATACAGAATCACTTTATCAGTTTCCAGATGAGTTCACTATCTTCTAGTTAAACTAAATATGATTTTTTAAATGAATTGATAGAAATTTTGGAGTTGTTCCAGACACAGCTTTAAGAAAATTAAAAAAGATAAAAACCAGTGGCTTTCATACAAATATGGCAGCTGAACAAGCAGTTTCCAACACATAATTGAGCAAGAACACTTTGGAAAAAATTGAATCTATAAATGGAACTCCCATGAAGCCAAGTATAGCACCATGATTGAAGATAATCTGAAAAACCTCCGACAAGTTTATCAATAGTACAACTTTCAAGTACACTCTAAAAAGTAAACATATGCGGCTAATATAAGCAATCGCAAACACAGCAAGTATTTGAGCACATACACAACGGAGATGCAATGAGGTTTATCCATCATGCCAAGCTGTCGGTGAAGCTCGTAGGAGAAAAGAAGTAAGCATACTATCAACAAAAAGTAATACTTAAATGGTTAGAAGTGAGATGAAAGATACTCAGGATAATGTATGTGGATAATATGTGGTGTCAGTGGCTCACATTTGGAGCACTCATATATACGAGCACAAGGATATTGCTTTGATCTCAAAAAGTATTTCCCGGAAACAGCTTCCTTGTCAACCTTTACATCAAATACTGGAAAAAGGGGGAAAAGAAGAAAAGGTAAACTGACGCAACGGCATTTAATACATGATCCAAAAGATAATAATAAACAAAATATAGTTACTTGCACCCATAAAATGCCGCTAAGCATTCACTAGATGGAAATTTTGAAACCAGGTACATCCTAGAAAAATAAAACCAAATCCATGTAGAGCATGTATATATCCCATG